CTCAGCCTTTTCCCAATTTAGTGTCAGTGTTTGGGGGAAACAGGGTGCTCTCCCGTGGCCTGGGTTGCATAGATCCCTAGTGGAAAACGTAAGTCACAAAGGGATACTGCCTGTCCCTTTCATGTACTGGAGCTTCACTTACTTTTGTCAGCCAAATGCTGTCCCTTGAGCTGCCTTCCCACCTTCTCCTTCCTGGGTTCTGGGGTGTTCTTTGCATTCTGGTGAATCCTGTTTTCTTTCTTGAATTAAAGCTCTCAGAGTTGATCTTTATGTACTGTTTTGCTAATTCCAAGTGGCTGAGGCACATTGAAAACCTCTAATCCACAATCTTGGGAAAAAAATCTGCCTGAATTGACTCTAATTGCAAATATAGAATGCCAACATTTAGTGACCTCAGACTATATGATACTCTTGAGTATCTCTCAAAGCCTGAAAGAACTGATACTGGGGAAAATGCCCAAGACTTATTTAGTCTAGCCCTTTTTTGTAGATTCTCTCTCTCTTTTTAAAAAAATCTACTTATTTACTTTCGATTCTCTGATTTCTATCCTTAGGTATAGTTTGACCGCTAAAAGATAATAATCTAAACAATATATTGTACTCCCTGCAGCATTGCCTTCGTTACATTATCTTTTAATACTTACATCCATTTTTAAGCAAGGTCATTATGGGAAGCAATTATGTTAAATTTTTTTTTTTTTTTTTTAGACAGAGTCTTGCTCTGTTGCCCTGACTGGAATGCAGTGGCGTGATCTTGGCTTACTGCAACCTCCGCTTTCTGGTTCAAGCAATTCTCCTGCCTTAGCCTCCAGAGCAGCTGGGACTATGGACATACACCACCATGTCTGACTAATTTTTGTATTTTTGGTAGAGACGGGGTTTCACCATGTTGGCCAGGCTGGTCTTGAACTCCTGACCTCAAGTGATCTGCCTGCCTTAGTCTCCCAAAGTGCTGGGGTTATAGGCATGAGCCACTGTGCCCGGCAATTATGTTTAGCTTTCTAATGACTTTCCTGAAAAACTGTTGCTGAGAACGTTAACTAGTACTTCACACTTTGTCTTTCAGATACATTCCTATATGATACAATTCTTTATAAATTCAGTGCTACAGATACAGTTAATGAGAGGGACTTTGGATATCATCTGTTTTCAACTGTTTTGCAGATGAAGAAACCATGGCTGAGGTCAGCGATAAGTAGCTAGCCTAGAACCTGGTCTAGAAATCCTGTCTTCTAACAACAGGCCCAGTTTTGTTTTGTTTTGTTTTGTTTTCTTTTTTAACGTTTTGGAAGTTGAGTTAGCATTGACATAATGTAAAATTAGCCATTTAAAAATGAGTGATTCATTGGTATTGAGTACATTCACCATGGTGTGCAACCACCACCTCTAATTAGTGTCAATATTTTTATCACCCTAAAAAGAAGACTGTATGCATTAAGCCATTTTCCTCTTCCCCCCAGCCTGTGGCAATCACCAGTCTGAATTCTGTCACTATGGATTTACGTATTCTGGATATTTTACATAAATGAAATCATACAAACTGTGGCCTTTGTTTCTGGCTTCTTTCATTTAACATAAAATTTTTAAGCTCATTCACATTATAGCATGTACTAGCATGTTATTCCTTTTCATGGCTGAATTATAGGTAGATACCACACTTTGTTTGTTCATTCACTGATAAACATTTGGGGCATTTCTTCCTTTTGGCTATTATAATTAGTGCTGCTATGAACATGTATGTACATGTTTCTGTTTGAGTACCTGTTTTTAATCATTTGGGGTACGTACGTAGGTATGGTATTGCTGGGTCATATCATAATTCTGTGTTTAATTTTTTGAGAAATTGCCTATTGTTTTACACAGTGGCAGCACCATTGTACATACCTCCAGTGTGTTTTTATGTCCCCTGTCCTCCATCATGCTGAGATCGTGCTGAGTTGAAAAAGAAAGCCAAAAATTAGTCATTTTGTTTGAGGTATGGACTCTCGGTACATCTTTTGAAACAGATTTTTCAGCCAGTTTTGTCTGTCATTTTTCCAGTGGTTTGTTGAATTGTATTTTGTTTTGTTCCTTTCATTCAAACTGAGGTGAATTTCTTTTCCCTTATTATGTTTATGTTCCTAGAACCTACGGGATTTTGGAGGTCTAATTAAATATCAGTCTATTTATTGCACAAAATAAAAGGAAAATAATCAAAAAGAAATAGCAACACTGAAATAGTCTTGGGTACTTTGAAGGAGTTATGTTAGGTTTTAATTGACGTAAGTACAGGTCAAATCTCTTTGTCTTCTACCTTTGCTCTAGGAGTCAGTTTGTAGGGCTCGGTTTTGAGTCTCCTTAAATTTGAGGCCATTGTATTGCTATGACATATTTACTAAAACAATTTCTTGTGTTATATTTGATCAGTGGATTTGTAGAAAACTTAAATGGTTTAAGATAGGTTAAATACTATTCAAATCTGTCTTCTTTTTCAACTTCTATTTTAAGTTCAGGGGTACATGTGCAGGATGTGCAGGTTTGTTACATAGGTAAGCGTGTGCCATGGTGGTTTGCTGCACAGATCATCACATCACCTGGGTATTAAGCCCAGCAACCATTAGCTATTCTTCCTGATGCTCTCCCTTCTCCCATCCACACCTGCCAGACAGGTGCCAGTATGTATTTTTTATCTCTGTGTGTCCATATGTTCTCATAATTCAGCTTCTACTTACAAGGGAGAACATGCAGTGTTCAGTTTTTTTGTTCCTGCATTAGTTTGCTGAGAATAATGGCTTCCAGCTCCATCCATGGTCCTACAAAGGATGTGACCTTGTTACTCTCTTGTTCCTTTTTATGGCTGCATAGTATTCCACAGTGTATATGTACCACATTTTCTTTATCCAGTCTATTATTGATGGGCTTTTGGGTTGAATCCATATTTTTGCTACTGTGAATAGTGTTGCAGTGAACATACATGTGCATGTGTCTTTATAATAGAATGATTTCTATTCCTTTGGATATATACCCAGTAATGGGATTGCTAGGTCAAGTGGTATTTCAGCCTCTAGTCTTTGAGGAATTGCCACACTGTCTTCCACATGGTTGAACTAATTTACAGTCCCACCAACAGTGTAAAGCGTTCCTTTTTCTCCACAACCTCGCTAGCATCTGTTGTTTCTTGACATTTTAATAATCGGCATTCTGACTGGCGTGAGATGGTATCTCACTTTTTTTTTTTTGATTAGCATTTCTCTAATGATTAGTGATGTTGAGCTTTTCTTCATCTGTTTCTTTCGCGAAGTGTGTCTTTATGTCTTTTGTTTGTTTAAGGGCTTTCTTTTAACACACAGAACATTGTTCCTTGCTTCAGTGCCTACTCATGTTATGGTCTCTTTATCAGTTATTGTGTTCTTCACCTGGCTATATCCTTATAATTCTTGGAGACTAATCTTAGGTGTCACTTTTTCCAAGATGCTTCCTCTGACTGAACCCTCCTCCACCCTTTCTAGCTGAGTCAGATGATGTGTTCCTTCCTAATGTCTTATAATAACTGAAGCATGTCATTTTACTTACTGTATTTTTTGTAATTATATGTGTGTTGTCTCCTACAAAACTGTGAGCTTTTTGAGTTCAGGAAAACTATGCTTTAATTACCTTTGAAATTGCAGAACCTTATTATCCTAGGCACATGATAGACTTCAGTGAATGTTTAGTGAATGAATGAAAGAAGCTTCTAGTTTAGAAGAGGTAAATATGCACGAATAACTACTGTAGAATTGTAAATTTTGCAGTGGAAGCAGAGAATACAAGGAAAAACATATTTGGTAAGAGCGTGAAATGTTTATGAGGGAAGGTTTGCTTCATGGAAGATAACAATTTCAGCTGGTTCTTGAGGGGAACTTGCTAGAATTTTTTGCTAGGGAGTAAAAGTAATCCATCCTAGAGAACAGAAGCAAGAGAGCAAGTCATGCTCATGGAGAAGCCAGGTATTTTAGAATCTTTTTCAAAGGTCCTTTTGGCAGCAAGGAGGATGGAGTACAGGGAGAAGCAGGAATGATATAGTCATGCAGCTAAAATGAAGGTTTTCTGTCAAGCTTTGACTGTGAGGGAGGGAGGGTTTCAAAAGATACTTAAGATATAAAATGGGCAGTCAGGCCCTGATAGCTTAATTGGCTGAAAAATTCCAAGAGGGTAATCCAAGGCAACTCTAGAATTTCTCTTCTCAGTAATTGGGTAGGTATTGATGCCTCCTTTTAAAAAAGTAAAGGAATACAGGAAACATTTGGGATCTTCAGAGAATTTAATTTTGGACATGGTAAGTTTATGATCTTTATGACAAATTGAGGTAGAAGTGTTCAGTATGTAGTTGAATATAAGTTTCTGAAACTCAGGAGATATTTCTGAGCTGGAGGCACAGTTTTGGAAGTCAAGTACATATGGGTAGTTATAAGTAGTGGACTAGAAAACTCAAGGATTGCATATCTAGTAAGACTATAAGAAGGTAAAAACAGAACCCTAGGAATTGCAAGCTTTCTTCTACTTAAAGGTAATCAAGGGCATACTTGCAAAGTAGTAGTAATTTTTCTTGGTCCCTTTTATTTCCTGTATGCTTTCCCAACTTTAATCAAAAAAGCAATAAAATTATGTTGCTATATCATGTCTTGGACTTAGCATCAGATAAACCTTATAGCAAGTGTGGGGCTGTGGCAGTACTAAAACATTCATGGCTCATTTTCAGGGGATATGTTGCTGCCAACTCAGGTTTATCTAGTTATTGCCTTGCAGGTGTACAATTTCACTGATTCCTGATTCCATGTATTTTCGTTTTTCAAGAAAAGCCAGAAATCCTGATTTTTACAGACTTTTAAATGCTTACTCAGAATTTTAAAAAATGCTGTGTTGGTCGGATAAAACATTGTCAGTTTCTGATAACTTTCTTAATCCTTATATTCTTTGTAACAAAGAGCAACTAGTATCACCTTCTGAGGTATTGAAATGTACTTGTTTCTGTTGCATACTAGGATGAGAGAAAAAACTTGACTGGAAGCTACAGAAAATTATAGTGGAAAAGGAGACAGACTGAATCCCTGGGCTTAGAAGATTTAGAGATTGAGTGAGTAATAGAGGATATAAGTCAGATGGGTTGAGACCCATCTGTAGTGACTGCACTGGCAGTGAATCAATCATTGCCACTTTTGGCTCCTTATTTGCTGAGGTCTTGTTGTTTCTGGGACTTGAAACTGGAATGGTTGTTAGGGAGGATTTTTTCTATTATTTTGTCCGGCATATTTTAGTACAAAATTATAAACACAATACAAAAAATACTTAGTGTTTTGCCCCAAGAACATAACCAATATGAATGGAAATGTTTCTGTCAGCCTGTGGCTTTCAAAATCTGAACAGCTGATATACCAGATGAACTCACAGGATGATTGTTAGGGCTGGCTCTCTTATATTTATTTATTTATTTTTGTTGAATCAGTTTAAAGAATTTTTACAGGAAGTCTCCTATTTATTCTATAGAAAAATCAAGGAGATTGTTGGAACTGACCTTTGGCTCTTCTATTGGTTGACCCTGTGGAAAGAAAGAGTCATAATTCCTTGAGTGTGTGTGTTCACTTTTAGGAACAGATTTCCCTGGAAATAAATTCTACTTGTATAACAATTAGATCTCACAGTTAAAAAATTATAATTAAAAAATGTGTCACAAGATATTATAATTTGATCATTGATTCTTGATCTAACCACCTTTTAGCCATATCAGATTATGGGAGGAAGTTATGGAGTAGGCCTCCTGTGTAAAGGAGGTGTGATTTTTTTTTTCTTTGAGGTGGGAGTATAGTTGGAACTAAATAAAGTACATGTGAATTTACCATATCAACTAAAATTTTGATCAAATGATTTTTTAAAATTGTGTGGTTCTTATTTTATATATGTTTATAGTTTCCCTTAAGGTTTTCTGTATCAGAGTTGTTGATCTATTATTTCCTTATACTAATGTTAGGGATGATAAAAGCTATGAGATGAATCTAAACAGTTAATTTTAATGTCATGTGGAAATAGTTTTTTCTATGTTTTATTAAATGTCGAATGAATTGTGACTTTTACATTTTTTTCTCTTTCATTTGTTCTTTTGGGCACTGATAAGTCTAACCATGTATCAGCTTCTTATAATTCATGGCTAGTGCCATCTGGCTGTCATTCTCCCTCTTTTGTAAAATCATCTTGTACTTGTGATTATATGTGGTTTTAAAATTACTTTTTGGAAACTCTTGAATAGTGCATTTATCCTGCACAAATTAGTATATGTAGAATAAGAATCATATTCTTTATTATCATTTATAAATGAAATATTTATATATAATTAGACATGCCAGGGCAAGGTAAAGTGGTACATGCTGGTAGTCCCAGCTACTCAGGAGGCTGAAGTGGGAGGATCCTATGAGTCTAGGAGTTGGAGGCTGCATTAAGCTGTGATGGCACCACTGCATTCCAGTCTGAAAGAGAGTGAGAGACTCCATCTTTTTAAACAAACAAAATCTGTAAAAGTGTAAATAGCCTTGAGCATTGGGCTTAGGTTCACTAAACAAATGTTATTTTATGTTCTCCTTTTGAATCAAGAGTTTTAAAGAGTACTTTCCCTGTTGGTACACTGTTGAGCAGCCTCAACATTTGTGAATATTTGTTCACTTCAAGTTTTTGTTTTTGGAAATTACCAAAACTTTAGCATATAAAGTTAGTAACTGGTTTAGGGTCGTACCATTTTGGTGGAAAGAATTGGGTAATCATAAATAAAAGAGATTGATTTTTATTGTTCACCTGCAAAACTGCCTTTTGAAGACAATTTAAAAGGAGTTCCAAAAATATTTAAGCTCTAAAGGCATTATGTTTTCTGTATTCCCCAAACACTTTGTGAATCTCTTTATTGTGGCATTTACTACACTTATGTTATCATTACATGTATATTTTACCTTTTTAGCTTCTGAGCATATTAGTGGCAGAAACTGCCTCATTCATCTTTGTATCATTAAGGCCTAACACATACCCACCTAGTAACAATAGAATCAATGTGAAGCCTCCAAAATAATTGGGTTGGAGGACAGTATTTTTTATGTTAAATGTACGCATACCCACACATAAAACAGAATATTAAGGCTCATTACTTAGTTTTATATTTAAAGCAATTTTTTTCTTAATCGTATAGCCATGCATATGTTGCTCCACCATAAACTAATCATAGGAGTATACAGCGTTGTATCTGAAGCCATCAGGTGAGACTGAGGAGGAACACTTTAAGGTCCTTTGCCTTTTCACTGTCCTTTCCCCCTTCCCTTGGTCTCCCCTTTTCTCTCCTTTTTCTGTTCCTTCCCTCATTTCACTTGTCTAGTTAGTAATTTTCATACTTAATGAGCAGCTTCTGTGTACTTGGCCTTGGTTACATTATTATTTGATGTTAAATGGGACAAGGTTCCACATCAGGAGCGTGTTCTATTGAAATTACCTGGAGAAGAATGTTCAAGTTATTGTAGATAGAATAAGGTGGGAGGAAAACAGTCTGTACTTGTTGTAAGACCACTCTTCTTATGGCTACTTATTTTTATTGTGGAACTATATATATAATTATTATGACTCAAGTTGGCACTGAAGTAGTATCAACTGTAAGATTCTTAGCCCAGTCTGTTTGGCAGCCCTAAGCTGTATAATGTATTTAAATATAAGTCGGAGAGTGGTTGACCCATTCTAGTGAGATTCATCTCACAGTCTAAGTTCCTTTCTATGGTAGTTCTGACAGCCTGTTCTAAGATAGCTAGTATAAAAGAGCTGATCTAAAACAGCATTTTCCACTTAACCCCCACTCTCCGCATGAACCAGGATAATCTACACCTGAATTAGCTGAATTAAGCACTGATAACCTAGGCCGAAATTAAGCACTGAATTAGTTGTGTGATTGTGAAGAGTTACTGAACCAGTCTGCTACTAGACTTGAGAGATGATATCACAACTCAGCCACTTCATGGTGCTGATGGGTATTCTGGATCAAAGAGAGGGTTAGTGATTTTGCAAAGGTTATATAGAAAGTTAGTGGCAATCTGGAATCCGTGATTTCTGACCCTTAAGTACTGTATTATGCTGCCTTTCCTATCATAAATATCTTTTGAGGATCAAGTGAGATAAATGTCAGTGTGCCTTGATGGGTAGAAAATATCACAAGATAAATTATTTCTACGTCCTTTCTATGGTCAGGATGCATATGTAATTTTTTGCATTGCCATTTCTTAATTTTCAGAATCGTGGAAGTTGAGGTCATTTTTTATGTCTTTTTGTGTCCTTGAGTTCAGACCAATACAGGTAGATTATCTAAGCATGCTAATAAGTAGACACACTTTGAAACTCAAATTTTTTCTGTTATTTATTTAGAAGATACATGGATAAATTGATTTTCAGACCAGGAATTTATTATATTCACTTACTGCAGGTAGTTTTCTGACTACTTTCTTGGGAGGCATATTAAGCTGATTAATATTTAAATAAAAGCATTTATTTATTAGCATTTTTTTCTTACTGTGACTTTTTAAAATTAATTAATATTTTATTATACTTTAAGTTCTAGGGTACATGTGCACCATGGCAGGTTTGTTACATATGTATATATGTGCCATGTTGGTGTGCTGCACCCATTAACTTGTCATTTACATTAGGTATATCTCCTAATGCTATTTCTCCCTGCTCCCCCCACTTACTTAGCCCTATCTATTTGGCAGCCCTAAGCCATATAATGTATTTAAATATACCAGGTGAACTTCACTGGTGTATGATGTTCCCCTTCCTGTGTCCACGTGTTCTCATTGTTCATTTCCCACCTATGAGTGAGAACATGCAGTGTTTGGTTTTCTGGTCTTGCGATAGTTTGCTGAGAATGATGGTTTCTAGCTGCATCCATGTCCCTACAAAGGACATGAACTCATCCTTTTTATGGCTGCATAGTATTCCATGGTGTATATCTGCCACATTTTCTTTTTTTTTTTAATATTTATTTATTTATTTATTTTATTATTTTTTTTAATTTATTTTTTATTATTATTATACTTTAAGTTCTAGGTACATGTGCATAACGTGCAGGTTTGTTACATATGTATACTTGTGCCATGTTGGTGTGCTGCACCCATCAACTCGTCAGCACCCCATCAACTCGTCATTTACATCAGGTATAACTCCCAATGCTATCCCTCCCCCTTCCCCCCTCCCCATGATAGGCCCCGGTGTGTGATGTCCCCCTTCCCAAGTCCAAGTGATCTCATTGTTCAGTTCCCACCTATGAGTGAGAACATGCAGTGTTTGGTTTTCTGTTCTTGTGATAGTTTGCTAAGAATGATGGTTTCCAGCTGCATCCATGTCCCTACAAAGGGCACAAAGTCATCCTTTTTTATGGCTGCATAGTATTCCATGGTGTATATGTGCCACATTTTCTTAATCCAATCTGTCACTGATGGACATTTGGGTTGATTCCAAGTCTTTGCTATTGTGAATAGTGCCGCAATAAACATACGTGTGCCTGTGTCTTTATAGCAGCATGATTTATAATCCTTTGGGTATATACCCAGTAATGGGATGGCTGGGTCATATGGTACTTCTAGTTCTAGATCCTTGAGGAATGGCCATACTGTTTTCCATAATGGTTGAACTAGTTTACAATCCCACCAACAGTGTAAAAGTGTTCCTATTTCTCCACATCCTCTCCAGCACCTGTTGTTTCCTGACTTTTTAATGATCGCCATTCTAACTGGTGTGAGATGGTATCTCATTGTGGTTTTGATTTGCATTTCTCTGATGTGTGCCACATTTTCTTATTCCAGTCTGTCATTGATGGGCATTTGAGTTGGTTCCAAGTCTTTGCTATTGTGAATAAACAATAATATATGTGTGCATGTGTCTTTATAGCAGCATGATTTATAATCCTTTGGGTATATACCCAGTAATGGGATGGCTGGGTCAAATGGTATTTCTAGTTCTAGATCCTTGAGGAATCGCCACACTGTCTTCCACAATGATTGAAATAGTTTACAGTCCCACCAACAGTGTAAAAGCGTTCCTATTTCTCCACATCCTCTCCAG